CCTAGCACACGCGCGACTACCACCACCACCACCGCTGCTGGCTGCTGTGCCAGTACTAGCACTGCAACCACTGCCATCGAACCCAGGATGACGACAGCGACGACGACGGACTACTGCACAAGTCGTTCTGCTTCTTCTGCTAAGTACTTTTTTTCTGCTACCACCGTCGCTAGAATCCTTGTCATTCTAATTGCGCCCGAAACCGGGCCCTGGCTCCCTCATGCCGCACATGACCCAGATGACTACGAGCCTGAAGAAGCTGCGGGCGAAATCCCGGTCCGAGCCTTGGAAGAGAGGGCGACTTCGCTCGGGAATTGGGGGTGGGTGATTTAGGGTTTAGGATTTAGGGTTTAGGGCTTTGGGTTTAGGGTTTAGGGTTTAGGGTTTAGGAGAGTTGCGAATTGTGTATCGCGAGGTGCTCTTGTCATCCCTTCATGTACTGCAGGAGGGGCGTGCTCTGACATGGTTTGCTCCTCCAGTCCGTCTCCACAACTTCACACCTAGCCAACGGACATAGCCAGACTGTCGTCTTATGGTGGATGAAGGGAGGCTTGCGGCTTGGCTTGGTGAGATTGGACGTAGGTTAAAGCATCGACGGGATGGGGCCTTTGGTGCCTAGGCGGGGGGTTGTAGGGTAAAGAAATCACTAACGATCTGGATATTTATCACTTCTGCCCTCGCAACAGACCCAGCACCTTTCTCATTGTTACCGCTTGTGTATTAAATCTGTATAATAACCCCTGCAGAGCCCTCTACCGCATCCTGCTGCCAGACGTCTCAGCGAAGCTTTTTTTTTCTTCCGCATTCGTCTTTTCGCTTGGCTACTATGCATTTCAGGGGTAGTTGATCATCTCCACAATTCACGAGCCTACTTCAGTCCTTGTTCGAGTCTTTGCGGCCGAAGGTCGTCGAGCAGGATACCCACATGGTCGGAATGCCTGGTGACAGCCCGCGGCCCATGCTGGGAACAGCAGTAACTTAGAGGTAGGGTGCTGTGATCCACCTTCCTGTACTTGCTTGTGTAGTATGAAAGCGAGTGGTGGCTGCCGTGTCTGACACTGATCAACCGTGATAAACCACTCAGAGTTGTGAGTCGACTTGCTCTAGACCCTACGTACACCCTTTACCCTGCAGCATCCTAACCCTCAGCTCCTAAGCATCCTAACCCTCCATCCTAAGCATCCCAACCCTCAACCCTAAGCGCCCCAACTCTCAGCTTTAGTACTACCATCCTCAAACCCTAAACCCTAAACCTCGCGATCCCTGGTACTTGGAGGTTTAGGGGAGATAGTAAGTAGAGTTATAAGTAGAGTTATAAGTACCCTAACTGGAGTTACCCCAATTATAACCCTACTTATAACGGACTTACTAAGTCCCCAGGGCCTCCAAGT